TATACGCCGCTTCCCGCTTATACTTGGGGGGAGAAAACTCTAAATTTTGTGGTCAATATGTCCCACCTTCTAAATCCGGGCGTTCTGTTGTAGCGATAGTAACAGTGTTAGTGATAGTGATATTTGGAACGACAAGCTCCAAAGGCTTGCAATTGTAAGCATTATCAAAGACTCTAAAGACTAAAAATCTGCTGTTCTTCACTACTCGTCCAATGACTTCTAACTAGTCACCCTGACATTATGACATGCATTAGGTTGTGCCGTAGCGTGTTTTCGTACATCTATCAGTATGTTAGACTTCCCCAACACCCCCATTTGAAGATGCGATTTGTCGACGACAGTTACACAATACATGGGTTCACATTGTTCTGACCATTGATTAACTTTCGGACGTCAATGTTGACGTGGACACATTAGCACCTCGATGTATGTATGTTTCTCGCGGGCCTCATCGCATCTCGATCTCATTGTTGATCCTGCTCAAGCTATTTTCACGTCTAAATCTAAATATGCCTAGGTATCGCATGTTGTATGACTTTTGGTGTTTGGTTTCGGGTTCTTGGGTGGAAATCCTAGTGAGAATTCTTAAGAAAATATAACTAATAGACTTTCAGTGTTCCAGTGCCACGGTTAAGATAACCATGGTACGCCTAAAGTTCGGAGTCTAGGGTTTTATCCATATTACTTTTGGACCCCGGGTGTGGCCTCGGCCTTCTAACCGTCATTCTAGAAAAGGATTAATCGGCGAAGACTTTTGTTTTAATCTATGCTCGGTATCTCTCTTCAACGATGTTTCAAAGGTCGATATAACTTCTCAGCACGCGAATTGCTGACTAGTCGCTTGCACTCTCGACTCTTTCGAATAATCCCATGGATAAACCTTGGTTGATAAACTATTGAATGATCATAGACATTAGTTTCGTAACTTTCTACTCTTTTGAGTGAATCGTGGAGTCGTGGCAGCGTTCTCATCTCATCTTCCTTCCCGACGATCATCTGTCACCTCACATGGCCACCTTGCTGGATACCTAGGAGGTAAGTCCGTATGTAGCTCATATACTCTTACTTGTAGAAATCCATGCTTGCATGCGTAAACTTCATTGAAGTGCATTCAATATATCTCAACTTATCCCGTCGTAAATTCCATTATCATGCTCGTTACCCCTCGTTGCCCCCCTGTCTCGTTTGATTCATTTCGTCACAACTTACCTCATGTGAACTTTATATTGACTGAATATCTCTCTCCGGAAAGAGGAAGATACCCCCTGTTTGTTTCCGCAGGGACAGATTTGTTGTAACTCCGTAGACCGTTGTGAAGTACCGCAAAAAAACTTTCCCAGACCCATCCGATCTTGAATACGAAGGAATAGATAGCATATAGTAAGGAGTCTCGTGCTGTGACAACACCGCTTACTTGATTGTCCACGACCTGTATCGTATTAAAGCTTTTAGTTGTTACAATATCAAGATACTCTGCGAGTCACCTAGACATCAAAATGTCAGATATACATTAACCACAAAATCGGATGAACCATGAACCACTAATACATTTAGCTTACCAGTCTCCTACTGTTCTTCCTTTTTCTCGCAAACATTCCATATTTCAACAGCATAGGTCCCCACACACAAAACTAATGGCGATTAGGCTCGCAAGCATCGCATCCATTCATCCATTCACTCCACTATTTTAACATTTCAGTCTCGCATCTCGATCTTAGTCTCTGGCACTTTCCATCTTTTTACCCACGCATATCCGCTTCAATTTCACTCACAGGGCACTGACTGGTACCAACTATACCTGGGTACACATCGCTTGAAATCCCACGCTGCCATGCCATCCCACATGTGCGGCTCGGTCTAATTGCCCTTCCATCCAAGCTTCCTCGCTTCGCTCGCACCAGAAATGTTCATTGGTCTTACATTTGTTACCCCATCTCGATCCCCTTTCAACCAATCGCAACTCCTGAAACCGGTTCACACCCAATTCAAACTTCGCGATTATTTCCCAATAGAGTAATTTTGCTTTCGATTTCGAGACTGCCTAATACTATCGCCGCATCGTACGTGCACAAACCGTAACCGCAACCACAACCTAATACCTACTAAGCTAAGCAAAGTTACCATACCGTCCCTGGCGTCCCATGGCCATGAAGTGACATTTGTACCCTTTTGATGGAAGTATTTATTTGATTTGAGAAGATAAAATGAATAATAATACCAATAATAACAATAATACCAGCTGCAATGTAATAATAATCTACCTATCCCCACTGATCGATCATACTTTCTTGAAGATCTTCTTAAGCTTATTACTTCCTTCCTATCATTATTTATTTCCTTTGAATTTGAAGGCTTCACATTTTTATAAGAATGGATGCTTTTCCTGTCGGTGTTTCATTCAAATCTACGTTGGCATCTTTTACATGAAACGAGTGTCGGGAGTTCAACCACATTAAGCAAATTAAACTTCAACTTCATTCATCGCTCGCTTGGAATTTACATTGTTCAAGCAATATTCAGAAGTGGAATTCCCATAATATATCGATCTCGGAAATTTTGTCATTTCTCATCAAAGCATTCTTGGTATTCTATTTACTTTTTCTTCATTATCATATTCATCATCATCATCGTCAGACCACTACATCGAATATAACGGCCTACTAGCATTTTTGGGAACAGAAGTCCATAACAATCTCACGATTCAAGGTCCACATTATATTCACATCTTCATATCAGAGCGTCCAAATGGTGACCACGATCCACACTCGAATCTTTCGCCATAGTCACAGTCAAGGACACGATATAAAGCCTTCAGTTAGTCACCAGTCGAGAAGAACGGAACGAGAGAGTTCGTTACCCAGAAGAATGGATAGGGAAAGCTCCCTTCCACCAACTACATGTAGTAGAGGTCATACACATCCCCCTTGGAATACGACGGGTGTATTGAGGATAGCGAAATGTGAAAGTGTTTGTGGATTTTGTATGAAAGAAACGGATACAGCTGCAAAATTGAGGAAACATGTTTCTGTTCATATCAAAAACGAAGGACTTGATTTGACGATAGCGGAGGCAGCTAGCGGGAGAGGAAGATTGTAAGATTTTCTATTTTTGGGGGACATTTCTCTCCTAATAATTCATTCACATGGAAATTGTACATCATTTGCTAACCAATCATGTAGAGAGGTGCCAACTCACAAGTCTTCACATGAAAGATCAGGATCCACGTCACATTACTCATCACATAAAAACATCACACCACCGGAGGATGAACATCCCCAACTCACATACTCATCCCATACGCCTTCTTATTCATCTTATTCCTCAGCATCTCTTACTCCCTCATCTTCACCCTATACAAGTATAGCTCAACGACCCTTAACAACATCCACCTCGAGCTACGATTCATACTCCTCTCATCGATCCCCATCCAGCACCAGCGGGCTATCCTACTCTACCATCCCAAGTCCAAACAGTACCTCAGCCCTCTCCAACTATCGTTCCCTAGCCCAAGGCTCAACACACGCCCTCTCCGATCCCTTCTCCTCTCTTCGCTCTCATGCCCTCCGTACAAAATTCGAATGGACCGTCATCACCCCTTCGGAAGGTTTCGCCATCCTCGATTACTGCAAATCGCTATCGCAAGCTAGTGGTGAACAAGTCCCGTGCTACAACCGCGAAACGCTGTTTGATGAAGAGTGGCAAGCTCACATGAGAGATATTCATGGAGTTTACTTGATATGGCCAGAAACGTGGATGAAGCGGGTTGAGGTATTAGACTTAGAAGGAGTGGGAGGGAAGATTGAGGGAGTTAATGATTTAGTTATGGAAGGGAAAGCGATGGATAATTGGGGATTGTTAGGGCACGAATATTAACTGAGAGAATATTTATGATTACGTACCGGGTTTCAGGAGGGGGAGAACTGGATTGGAAAAGCGATGAATCGTTACTGGATGGAATACCAGCATGGCATGCACGAATTATAGGGGATCACACGGAAGTCAATTTCTTTGCAAACGCAAGCATGGAGTTTGGGAATAAAAATTGGAAAGGCCTGGTACGGGGAATGCATTAGAAAATGGAAAGGTTACAAGGGAAAGAAAGCACCGGCATGCGCTGGAATTGTTATATCATGCTCCCCGTTTATTCGGATACATGGTGGTTCTCATATTCAGTATATCATATGAATACAAATATGAGGGTAAGAAATGAATATATGAATTCATCAACGACATTTCTGATCAGATACACTTAGTGCTTTAGACTAAGAATTTACCAATTTAATATTCACATTAGACTTGAACTTAAACATTGTTATACATGAGATGAGTATGACTAATAGTAGCATGTATCGAGGCTGAATATATTTTCAGGACATATGGAAAATACAACAACAACTTCCTCTGCTATCTGAAAACAGATTATGTGTTACATCCAAGAAAGTTCACATCTCACCATCAACCACCCGCCCGATACGTAAAAGCGATGAAGGTTATCACATTGATATTTGGTTTAAGGATTCGGGACAATAAGCGAATGAGCATCAATCATATCATCGTGCAGTACAATACATAGGTTGTTCCGAGAGATTATCGGAGGTGAACTACTATACCAGTACCTATGCAATGACAATAATGATATACGTCCGATGAGATATAACAAACATAAACACTATAGAAAAATTGAACAAAATCTCTCCTTTCTACCAATCCGACCCTTTTCCCAAGCCTTTAATAGAATATTGAATAATGAGATATGCAACAAACCTTTTCCAATCCATAAGATTCACCCCGCAAATTTCTCTTTCGCCTCTTACTCTAGATTACCCAGGTCTAGACACCAATCGCAGTCATGCATGCATCTAGAATGATCGAAATAAATTTGTTCATTTGTTTATTTACTCATTACTTCATAAGTCCATAGGTATAGTAATGTACAGACATTGCTCTGGTATTTTCCCTCCCAAATCGTTCAACCCATCCATAATCATAAAACCACCCGTCTACATGTACAAACTAGCTACAGCAGTAATATCTCTTTTGATGATCTCTTGACAGGTTTGCATTTTTTGAAACAACTCAGGATCACCAATGATTCTAGCCGCATTTCTGACCTCCCTGCAGGTTTCGTCTAATCTCGTTATGACTCTCACAATTGTACCTTCAAGTACATCTGTCAGCATTGTAATATTCTTGAAACTCATTCCGCGTGCCCATTCATATACAACTTCCATGAGTCCAAAACGCTCAGGATGAGCTTCAAAATCATTGGATTCAGATGTTGGCTGGATAACTTGATGTAATATTTGCATATCTGTTATCTTTTTTGAGAGTTCAAGGATCTTGATTTTGCCGGTTTCTAAGGAACTGGGGAGAGTTGGGACAACAGTTGTTTTTTCTTGGAAAATGAAGGCACTAAGAAGAGAGACAATTTCTTCTGGTGTATATGCTGATAGTACGTTGTCAAGAATTAGTTCCGTCAGAATTAATTCGTCTGCGGAGTGTATCTCGCAAGCGACCTTTCCCTTGAGTTGAACGCGAGAGGCGTCATCGATAAAGTCTAGATCTTTGAGGACTTGGATTCGTTGTTCATAATCAGGCAATAGTTGAAGATTGTTGTCAGACATAAGTTGGCGAAGTTGAATGATATTGGCTTGGATTAGCCATTGATCATGACACATTGCGAACTGAGGATAAGTTTATTACATTAGTAAATGTTGTATGATACAAACAAGAACTTGAAGGGGCACCTACATGTTTCAAAAATGAAGGACATTTTAAGCAATTAGCTTCTTGGGTGATGGTAGCTTGTTCTGAACGCTTTACAAGATTTTCCCTCAATTGGAGAACCTTGATCTTAGACCAGTCCAATTCATCCCATACATCACTTTCCCACGATGAACACAGATTGAAAAGAATCTGTTTAGCGCTCTCATAAAGTTCCCCGCCTTTGTATATTTCAGGAACTACTCCCTTCACGATCGTATTCGTGACACACTCCAAATCATTAACAGAAACGTAACAAGTCTTGGTGGAAATGTGCTTCTTGAGGTTAGGAAGTTTGGTGAAAATTCCTCGAAACTTAGGTACGAATGGCAACAAATCAGTTGTATCCCATTGATCTCGTCTTGTTCTGATCTCGAGAATATGAACAGATAGGCCATTCACATCTGTAGCACCGTCACGAACAAGAATACCAGGTGTGCGAACACCATTCTTGTGATAAACTACCAGTCGACCCTTAACAAACATTCGACGACCAATAGCAGTCGATAGTGATCCAATATGAACATCGCGAGTCAGTTGCTTATAAGTCTGAGTTGCCTCATGACAAGTATCTAAATCCTTTTCACAAATATCGCAAGGTTCTCTGGTGATCTTGGCCAGGTCTGCTTCGGATAATTTGACCGCCTTTTCATGCTCAGGTAGAAGTTGCTGAGTAGCATGTTCACTAAAACTTCTTTTGATCATCTCCTCGATTTTCAAAGCCTCAACTCGCAGGAGATTGAGTATCATGTTGTAGGTCAATCTGAATTGAGAACGAAGCTTTGACGGCTCTCCAAGTATCATTTGTCGAAGTTCAGTAACGGGTGGAGCTTCACCACCTCCCGGCGCAACAATTATAACCGAACCCACAGGATCTAATCCACGACGACCTGCTCTACCAGCCATTTGAGTATATTCTCCAGGCAACAAATCACGGAAGGATTGTCCGTCATGCTTGCGATATCCAGAAAAGACAACTGTTCGAGTTGGTAAATTCAATCCCATAGCAAATGTTTCTGTGGCGAAAAGCACTTTCACCAAAGTTTGCGCGAATAACATCTCAACAATTTCCTTCACAATAGGTAGCAGACCACCATGGTGAACAGCAATACCTCGCCCAAGTAAATCTCGTAATCGAATGATTTGTGGTAATTGTCGGTCCTCTGGTTTGAGCCGAGCAATGGATTTCTCAATCGTCATGTGTATCGCACTCTTTTCTGTCGCTGTACAGAAGTCTTGATTACTCAATGCATCTGCATTCTCTTCGCATCTCTTCTTGGAGAAGACGAAAATACATGCTGGGAGTAAGTTTTCTTTTTTGAGAAATTGAACTAGTTGTACCCATAGTGTCTTGTCTTGGGCAGCTGTTGTTCGACCTCCAGGTCTACCGCCACGTCCCATATGCCCTGGGTTATGACTAGCACGGGGTGGTCCACTACCACCACGACCGCCTCTCTGTTGTGCTCCTCCACGTTGTTGACCACCTCCACGTTGTGCACCACCACGCGCATTCTGACCTTGACCTCTACCTCTTTGGTTTCCTCCTCCACGAGTATTTGAGGCGTCTGGTGGAGGTAGAGCCTTTACCTTATCTCTCCCAGATAGTACATCGTTTGCGGACTTCCAACCCTTCTCGATGAACTTCTTCTCTGCATCCACAATTTTGTGAATGCCTTTATCTGCCCAAAGGTAATGTTCCAGTGGAACTGGTCTCTTTGGAGTTGAGATGACATAAATATCTTTCTTCTTAGTTCTTCCAACCCAGGATGCAAATTCGTAGGTGTTTGGGACAGTTGCGGACAGCAAAATTAATGTTACATGTTCTGGTAACATAATGATAACTTCTTCCCAAACCACTCCTCTCTCTAAATCATTAACGTAATGTACTTCATCGAAAATAACAAACTCCACATCTCTAATTAAATCAGCTCCCCTGTAGAGCATACTTCTTAAAATCTCTGTGGTCATGATAAGACAACTTGCCTCAGGGTTGATCTGCACATCTCCCGTGAGAATGCCAACTTCGTCGAAAACTTGTCGGAAATCTCGGAATTTCTGATTACTCAATGCTTTGATTGGAGATGTATAAATTGCCTTGGTCATATGCTTGGCGGCAAGAGCAATAGCATATTCTGCTACTACTGTTTTACCTGCCGATGTATGAGCAGCAACAAAAACTGAATCTCCGCTTTCCAAATGATAAACTGCTTCCTTTTGAAAAGTATCCAGTTCAAATGGCCAATCTCTTGCCATATCAGGAACCAATTCTCTGAAATTTGGAATGTCTCTCTTGACATCAACCATATGTGCCCATTCTTTTCCACTTCTCTTCGCGCTTGAGGCTGCTAGTGCACCACGGGGCTCCAGTGCCGGATATTCAACTGGCAACATTGAATCAATATCATCTTCTTCTTCGTCTGAGCTTTCCAAAGAAGCTTCATCCTTCATGGCACCATCTGCTCCATTTGCAGACACTTCCTCGGCTGGTTCTTCCTCTAGGACATTCTTCACGTCTTCAGCCTCTTTCTCATCAACTCCTCCCTTCTTCTCAAACTTGAGCCCCCTGGTGAATCCTGGTGGTACGCTTAATAGCCCATCCTCGCCACCAAAGTTTATGATTCTTTCCAAATTCTTTTTTTCGGGTACTGCATCATCGATTTTACCGACCTGTTCATCCAAAGCAGCCGCAGCCACTACAGCATCTAATCCTCCAGGTGCGAATGGAAAGAAGCCTGCTGCACCTCTAACAAAATCTGCCTTATTTGCTGGTTTTCTCATGAAAGACGTAGAGTTCTTAGCAGTCGCACTGTTTGCTGGTACTGTAACTTCCTTATAACCTGTAACCCGGCCTTCTAAACCTTCTCTTGTGAATCGTGTAATTGTACGTGTTTGAGTTGGAGCGAGCTGGAAGAGGTCTGTATAATTTGCTGGTGAGTCCCAGCGCCTGAATGAAAATGGATGTTAATAATGCCTGAGAAGCTGCCCATACTTTTTATCTCGCGCATCTTGTCAAGCAGACAAACATACCGGGACCCCAGCATGAAGATTATGAAGGAAGAATAAGACTTACTGTTGAAGCTTGTTTAACCATTCTGTAGAAAATGTGGTTGATGGCGTTAGGTACTTCTGTTCAAGCTCCTGTTTAAGCTCGTCGCGATTTTGCTTGATGCGTTTTGGTGGACGTTGCTCATCGAGTATACTGTCGATCCAGTCATCCTGTGTTTCGAGATCAAGATGATCTAAAGCTGCGACTAGACCTTCTGCCATGGTTACTAAGTAACTGACAGATCTTCCACAAATCTTGGAAGTGCTGTGTAAAGTATCGGTAGGTAGCTCTTGAAGCTGCAGCTTCTCAGGTACGTGCTTTACAAAATTATGGTGGGGGTGGGGTTCTTGGGCTTTTAGGCTCTGCACTTCACCAGCGAAAAAGGTTGAAAGGTTGAGTGATAGTGCTACCAATTTAATTTAATTTGGGGATCTAGAGCATTTCGAACAATTTCTTTTTGAGTTCGAAGAAAATATGGTTTACAATCTTTGTTATGTTTGACATTCTATTCAATTCAACCTACATCACAATCGGCTCTATGACATAGCCAATTGCTCACCACATCAGACCCACCATTGTCAATCACTCCAATTAATATCATACAATCGTGTGATTTAGTAGGCTACTTGGACTACGGAGAGCATCATCTCACTAGAATATGATTCCGAATTAAGAAGTTTCATACGAAATAGTTCACCCCAACGCCTCATAATGCTGCCATTGTACACCCTAACGCCAGCCCCAGCCTGTTTACCATCCCCCATCCATATCCATCATAGCTTCCATAGCATCCAAATCTTCATCTTCAGCTTGTGTAGATTTTCCTGTATCTTGTTTTGTAGGCCGACTAGCAGGTGCATTGTCGTTATTTGCGGCGAGCAATGCTTCGATATCGTCATCTAACATTTCCTCATCGCTCCTTTCCTGTTCCGCTTCTGCAAGTAATGCCTCCAGATCATCGTCTGGCGGCCCATCATCCCCAGCTGCGGTAACCTTCGGAGGACCAAATATGCTATCGTTACCACTACCAAAGACTGAAGTAGACTGTATAGCTGCGTTTTGTCGCGCATTCTTCGGAGTAGAATCATACATATCATTGAAGTCCGAATCTTGATCTGGAACAGGTGTTTTAGGTCTTTCACCCGCTGCAGTTTCAAATATCGGTGCTATCCTCAAGACTGTTTTCTCTCGTTCATTTTCATCGCGTGGAGGAAGTTCTGGTTCGTCGAATAGGGAGTCTTCGTGGACCGATGACTTAGCTTTCCCCTCATTGATCCAGTCCATTCTCGCAGATTGTATCATTTTTTTGTGACCAAGCTTTTCTACCATAGCTAATGCGTCAGCAAATTTGGCTTTTGGGAATAGATCATCGAGCCAGAGTTGGTAGAATGCAAGGAGACGAGCTGCATCTGAATACTATATTTCTGTAAGTATAAAGCTGATATCCACAAAATTACAATCCATACCTCATGGCCTTTACCCTTGAACTTCAAATGATCTGCCGCTTTTTTCCGTAGTTTTGGTATTCCTGCAGAAGACAAAAGTCTTCATATCCATATTAGTATCTCCAAGTCCATCCATCAGACAAATTGGACATACTTGTGCTCATCAAGTTTCACTCTAGGGACTCTAGGCTTTTTGGTAACCTGGATTTCTTCATCAATACCAAGTCCTGCACCACTTTTGGTATTGGTTTCTGAGGCCTTGGTCGATTCTTTTTCTTTACTTCCAGGAACCACGTAATTGTCGCTGAAAGGATCATTTGCATCTCCAGCATCGTAATCAAAAAGGTCATCTAGATCATCAAATTCATTCCCACCGGCATTGGGCGTCTCGGTAGGAAGAGGCCTTGGTGGTGGAGAGTCCATTGTATAAGTAGATCAATAATCAAAATCTATTTAGCTTTCGTAACCATGAAATATAAATATAACTTAAATTCACATGAAAAAACCAAGATTTCGTTGTGTCAGACGCGTCTACGGTAAGGGAAGACGCGACAGATTGTGAGGCAGAAATCAATTTAAGTCAGGCATAAATATCTTGACCTGGCCCATGCACAATTTAGCGTTTCGATATCGAACCTCCGTCAAGAATTGACCTCACCAGTGCGCTGAATCCCAATTATAAGCAATTGGCATATTTCAAAATGTCGAATACCGAACAAAGGCCATTCGTGCCTTCAAAGAAAATCAACACCGATTATCCTGTAAGTTCTCGTCACTTTGCTGCCGAAGTTTTACGCATGAAACACACCAGCTAACTGCTCCCAAGCTCATCGACAGTGACCCGTACGTCCCATAAACCCCGCCAGTGATATCGCGAAGAGGGGCAAAATACTGATACGTATCATACAGACATATTAAAAGAGTCCTTGGCTATGCAAGGCCATCGGACTATGCGGTCGGAGCAGCGACGGCTACCGCAGGACCGGGTTTGATGTTGTTGTGGGAACGAATTTCACCTTCACTTGTTGGAAAAGGAGGATTTGCTCCAATCATGCGATTATCGGGAGTTATTGGTGTCGGAGCTGGGTTCTTTATGTTTTACCAACGCTCTATACGTACGTATTCGGATCAATCTGCTTTCCCTGCTTCATTTCCCCGCCTTCATCTGAACTCGTTCAAATGTGCTAATTAATGATGACAGTACGATTTTACGGTTTCACTGAAAACAAGCGTGAACAAGAAATGGATATGAGAGAAATGGTAAACAAAGTCAAAAAGGGAGAGTCTTTATATGGGGAAAGCTCAACTACACCATATATCCAAGGAGTCGCATCGAGGAATTCAAGATATGCAGGAGTTTGGATGCATGTTATGCCTTGGTTTAACATGGTAAACCACAACCAGCATGGAGTTGATACAGCCAAGTATTACCAACAAGCTGAGAGAGAGTTGGAGGCCGAAAGTTCGGGAAAGAAATTGTCAAACTAGAAGTGCGAATTGTGATGAAGCGGCGCTTAGGGAAAACATCTTTTGGGGGTGAAATCGAACAACTCGAAAAGGACGACTGTAAATAGGGGAACCGGAATGATGCGCTTAACTTTTCGGTCGCGAGCCTGAGTTGTCAAATTGTGAGTGTTTTACATGACTATACTCTATTTTCGCGTAACATGCATTATGTCTTTCTCTAATGTACTACCCGGAGCATATCTCTGACCATCTATTGCATCCAAACCATACGCCGCCTATCTTAGATCTTATGGAAGCCACTCAGTAGACCAAAATATCTCAGATTTAACCCGTTTCATCACCCTTTACTCTCGAATCTATCATTGGTTCCACCTCTAATTTCAAAATTCTCTCTTTCTTGTTTCTGGGTTCGGGCGCTGTAGCAAATTAGCTCTGAGGCCTTCGAATCAATGGAAATAGAATCAGAATACTTACCCCTTCCATTCTCTTGAACATAAAATCTCCTCAAAATAATAATAGCTTCTTCTCGCAACCACCCACCACTGACTTCATAATCGCCCTCATGTTTCTTTGCTCTTTCTTCCTCGACTGTCTGATTCCTGCCATCTTTTGCTTCATCTTCGGCGGCGCCATTAACATCAAATTTTCCGTTCCCAACATGAATATTCAAAACTCCACCATTTCCTCCAAATTTATCATTGACCGCCCCATACCATACTTTTCGTATTCCAAATTGTTGTAATAATGATGCACACATTATACATGGTTCTATCGTGACGTATAGATCCAAATGTTTCACGTCTTCCGGCCCATACCCACGCTTTGAACTTCCACTCCCATCGCCTTTTCCGGCGTTGCCCTCACTTCCATTCTCTCCTCTCTTTCTTTTCGCGTTCCTACTTTCATCGACGTCGCCACGTTCAACTTTGGAACTAGAAGACAACAATTCATTGATAGCAATAAATTCTGCATGTCTTGTCCCATTATAACTCCTGTTGGTTGCATTCATTCCTCTAGCTACGACCTTCTTGAGAATTGGATCAACAAGAACACAACCTACGGGGGTCTCATTGGTGTTCAGGGCGAGATTTGCCTAAAATATGTCAACGTTTATGTTAACAGAATAGATGACTAGACTAAATACCATAGCAAGAGCTTCACGCATGAAAAATAAATGTGCATCTATTTCATCTTGAGTCATCGATTTTGCATCGGATGGAAGATTTATCTGCGATGATACTTTCGTATCAGAGATTATATCTGAGTTTATCAATGAAGACTCCATAGTTCCGGATGGAGCACTTGCTCACTTAAATTCAAGTGGGCAGAGAAAAACTTCTCAGCGATGAGGAAGAGAATCCCGTGACGAGCGCAAGACTAAAATTTCAGGTCACATGATTAAGGTTGGCCCAAAAGACTTGCTCCAAATGCTTTCGCTTACTATCTCAAGCTGTCATTAGAAAATGTATTATAAAATGTTGACATCACTATTGGCCCTCTCTAATTTCTCGAAAGACGAAAAGATCAAAGAGTTGTGATCACAAGGAGAAGCATAATTGTTCGAACTACGGAGATCGAGGCCAGCAACGAACAATTGATCAAACCCTAAAACTACCTAGACGTTGATAGAGGAATATCACAATTTTAAATACTCACTAAACTATTAATTATCGAAAGTCAAAGTTTGATAATCTTGATCAACGAAAGATCAATTCGGTTGTCAGCCTTATCTAAGACCTAATACAATTGGAGATGATTCAAACTTTCAATAACCTTCACTGATACTTCGATAACGAATTAAGTTGAATCCAGTTTTTCAAAACAAGGGACAATGTTTCAATGGAAGCAAATAGAAATCACTAATTGCTTGAGATATAGGTTTGTGTATTGATATTCTGTGATCAACCACAAAAACCTATTGTTTCAAGGTTTTCATCTTGCTATTTGAGGTTTTGGTTGGATTTTCGTCTCCGGCGGCCTGGTAACGGGCATTGTTTACCGAGAAAGTCTTCCATCCTCTCTTTCTACAGCATTTCACTTGCGTACTGCCCCCTATTTATGGTTCCCTCCTTTATGAAGTCTTATCGAGTCTCGTTCCTGCGATCTACAGGAGATAAGCTATTAATGCGCTTTATGTTTGGAAGCAACGCTATTAATGGCCCAGTCCAGTCTTTACACTGGATTCCACGTCAGCTTGATTCGAAACTGAGAGTCTCTCCATTCTTGCATTGGAAGTAGTCTGAGACCTTTAACCATTAGTTTAGAAGCTTTGATCCTTTATCTTTCTCGTCCCAAAGTGGCTCGAAAGTCGTTGTAGTGCTTTCAACGTCAATTGTCTCGTATTCGGGCATCTTCTCTTCCTTGAAAGGTTCATGTCAACAAGTGTCCTGAGCCGTCTTGGAGCATATATCAGTATATATAAGAGGGGACATGACCCATCCTATTTCCTTTTGATCATTAGCAACATCTTCATCTTCAAGTGAAAGTCGTCAGCATAATATATCAGAGGGGTATCCAACAACTTTTTGCATTAACCACAATACCCACTTGATCAACTTTTCAAGACACATATACTCTCACCACCAAGCCAAATATGCATCTCACCAAGCCGGCTCTCGTTGTTGCCTCTTTATTATGGGCTACCACATTTGCCTCTCCCATTGACTCGTGAGTCTGGTCCCCTTGAGAAACACTCAGTCTTGATCGTTGCACCTCTCACGCCGTCGATCCTTTTCTTTCACGAAAAATATACTCTATGCTCTTATCTTGAAAACTAACACTCAACTTTCAGTCCAAGCATCCTCAGAACTAGAGGACTTATCGGTGGCTCCACAACCAATGATAATACGAAGGATGTTGCAGGAAGCACTACTGCCAACAATGCTGTAGGAAATGACAACACGAAAAGTGCTTCAAAAAGTAATGCTGTCGAGGATGCTGTAGGAAGTCTCGATCTAGGAAAAATTACAGGAGGCCTTAGTGCCCGCGAAGTTTCAAGGCGTCATCATGGCCACAAGAGTCAAGAAGGCGAGATTGTCGACGATGCACTTAATATTGCCGACGATGCTACACCTGGTGGCTTTGTTGATCGTACTACAAGGCGTGGTACTGCCCGCGATGTTTCAAGGCGTCATCATGGCCATCAAAAGGGAGGAAATGAGGCTTCTGACGGTGCAGTTGGTACTACCAAAAACGCCACGGGAGATGATGCTACGAGCGATGTTGCAAGTAGCATTGTTGAAGATGCTACTCGCGATGGTGGGAAAGATGCCACATCAGCGCCTGGATTCTTTACTGATATTCTGAGACGTCTTGTTACCCGCGATAAGGACGGTACTGTGCATGATGCCAATCACGCTGCCAATCAAGCTGTACATGATGCTAATCACGCTGTACACGAGGCCAACGAGGCTGTACATAATACCGTGCATGGGTTACTCCATGGGATCCTTCGTTGAGCTGAGAATTCTGATCAGCAAAAGATTATTTTGGTGGATTGGATGTGGGATTTGCTTTGAACAAGACATTAGGCGTTTTTGTGGGAAGCTATATGGATACACTTGTTGGGCAGGTCACAAAGATTCCTGGATCGATCGTTTTGTCGCTACTATCTTTGTCGGTGCACTTTTCCAGTTCAGCGGACCTATCATACATGTATTAATAGTTAATTTTATACATAATACACGAACAAGCATTTATAAAAATCAGTACTGAATCCATTTCTGTTAATGATCATATACTTTTATTTCATGGAATCTACACTTAGAACTTCAAGCATAGCCCCATGAAATCTATCTTTGTGTCATGTTTCTGAGTTAGCCCCCTGATCAAAAATCTGAGTATACAAACAATACTAGAAGACAAGACTGATTCTATAAACTCAACCATGGGGTTCACAATATGCAATTCCACATTCTCCCCCATTTATAAATCAGCACATGAGAGTGCTCAGATTGGAGCCGTTTCATACTATATAAGCTTAATAAGATACTATCTTCTAGGTTTCAGCTTTCTTGATGATAACATATCTAGTGCAGAGATCAGTAGTTTCCAGAAGGTGTGAAATATTAATGGTAGTTTGGTTTGACTACCTGTGAACAAAGAACCTATCTTTATTCTCACTGGTAGCGGCGATGTACCTTTTATCCGCTGAAATGCCATCAAGTCCCTCTTAGTGTAATCTTGTCGGATCTTTAATCACCCTTATATGCTTCCATGCTTCCGTCGTTCATTCGTGGTATTCACACCGTTCTGACAAGTGCTCACGTGACCATAGCATAAGTCGTGACTCACACCCCGGAACATCAACGTTTCGTACATCAAAATCGAGTTGATGCCAAGTTCTAATTTCCAAGACATGTCTCTTGCCAAAAGACCCAAAGAAAAGAAGTCGGGCAAAGGCTGCTGGACGTGTAAAAGTAAGCACATATCTGCAACCATTTTCTCAATCCCCGTAATTGCCCCGCCATCCAATGTAACCCCCACATTGATGTTCACGATCTAACAGTTCACGAAGGCAGGAAAATTGGATGCGACAAAGGGATTCCTCATTGCAATAATTGCAAAAGAACTGGTCGAACTTGTGAAGGTTATGGTGTAAAACTCCATTGGCCAGAATCGGGTGATGGGCGGAGACCAGTTCATTCTTGGGAGAATGAAGCTCATCTACCTGAACAAACTTTTCTAGCTTTCCCGGCACGTGAGAAATATCAGTTTCTGAATTCGACTTTTGTTGACGTAAAGATTGCATCTGGCTATCAGCAGGAATGCTATTCAACACATCGATATATGACAAGCCCTCAGAGAAGCCTCAAGTTCGGATATGAAACTGCTCTTGGGTCACGGGATGCGACATTATTATCTTACTGTAAGACAAGGGGATTCTCCACATAATGCCCATATATTGACAGGCTCCTATAGATACAGAGGTTTTGTCTCGCATGATTACTACCATTGATGATAGTTTGAATGGGTTTCGGAATTACCTACTCCCGAATGCGCTTGCAGATCGATACCTTTCATGTCTGAGTCTTCGATATGCTATCCTTGCAGTATCAGCATATCATTTATGGGGGACTGAAGCTGCAGTACAATACAAAGTTTCGGCTATACGACTCTTATCACAGTCTATTCAGAGAGGAGATGGTGGACTTCGAGGGCAATTTGCTACTTGTATGATGCTTTGTGTAGGCGATGTAAGTATATCTAAGCTCCAACCACTAAAGCTTACATCTCTTAACTTCCGGATAGGTTTTTGATGGGGCCGATGGAAGCTGGCCTACGCATTTGAAGGCAGCAAGGGATATTGGTTTGAGAATGACGAAAGATCATTTCTTAAATACTTGGCTTTTATATCATGATGTCCTAGCAGATTTTAGTCATGGGAGGCGGCAGAGACAATTCCTGAGTACTACATTTTTAGGAGCCCCAAGTGCAAACCCCGAGAACAAGATCGTAAGTTTTACGCAGGTATTGGAAGAAAGACGCTGACGTTGGCAGATTATCGGCTCGCTAGGATGTTCGTTAGAAGTCCTCGAATGCATATCCTGCATCAATGAACTTTCTGGAATAACAGAAAAGCAAGGGGAATATCAAGATTTTGCCAGAGGACTAGTTAAACAACTCGAAAATGCTCATCAAATTTCCGCAATCATGGAAGATGACACTACCGGCAAGATTGATCAGATGAAAATAGAAAACACAGCTGAACTTTACCGGCTGGGTGCCCTCATATATCTCCATTCAATACTATCCACACCTTCCGACTCCGATATAATACAGGATCTTGTTAATAAAGCTTTGGAAATTTTGACTATGAACGGTATTTGTACAAGTCCATGGCCATTATTCATAGCGGCCTGTGAAGTTGTATCTGACGAGCAACGAATCCAAATCCTTGATGTCTTGGAAGATATGCAGAGTGAGAGGAGGATCAGAAATCTAGAGATAGTGAGGGGTATTATAGAAACGGTATGGAAGCAGATGGATTTAGCGGAAGGTAATGGCGCAAGCAAGAGAGTTGACTGGAGGAAATTGGTTGACATGCGGAAACGAATACCTTCCTTCATCTGAGAATAGAATAATCATTGGCGATGATGTAGGATTATCAAGACAGAGAATATCAACATAGAATAGCAATCCAATAATATTGTATTAACCTTTTCGATTCGATACTTCCTTCATACTGAACTAAGCGGAGGAACATTGACCTCGACCAATTCTTCTCCAATTCCTCTTCTCATAGCCTCCTCAAGAATAGACTCGGTAGCAGTAGCACCAACTCTCGTGACTCCCAGTATCCTCACTCGTAAAAGATCATCCAGAGTCCTCACTCCACCAGCGGCCTTGATTTGTATCCCTTCCTTTACATTGTCTCTCATCAGGCTGAGATGTGGTATTGTTGCACCTTCATAATTGTACATCCCATTACTTTGTTTGACAAATCCATATCCCGTACTAGTCTTCACAAATGCTACTCCAACCTCACTGCAAATATGACATAACTTCACAATCTCCGCATCGGTAAGAAAGTCGTTTTCGAAAATGACTTTCAAAATCGAGCCCTTAGACACCACAGCCTCATTGATAGCTTGAATTTCTTTTTGAACATAATCCCAATCTCCCCCTAATGCTTTGCCAATATTAATTACCATATCGATCTCTTTTCCACCAGCTTCCGCGGCTTTAGTAGCTTCGAACACCTTGACTTCTGTAGTGCTATTTCCAGCAGGAAATCCAATAACGGGGCATACATCAACACCAGTTCCTTTGAGAGCAGAGATGGCTTGTTCAATAGAATATGGTTTGACACAAGCTGTTGCTACTTTGTATTTGGCGGCGATGGAAAGACCAGTGGCGATTTCGGTATCGGTCATGGTGGGGTGGAGGAGAGAATGATCAATCATTTTGGCGAGGATCGGAAGGGATACTGATACTGTCGGTGGAAATTTGATTGGGGGTGCCATATTGTAAGTCTTTGCGGATTAGATATTGGACTGTTTACTTCGTAGATTATTTTCTGGGAGATAATCTAAAATATTAGGTGTCTATAACACTGGTTGCGTTATACGAAGTAAATCGGGGTGTAACGTTAGATTGGGCCAAGAGGTGGGGCTCTTTACCAAGAATCCAACATGACGGTAAGAATGCACAACAAAAAGTTCAAGGACAACTCTCGGTCCCGAAGACCAAAGATAATTTCAATGTACTCGAGTAGATTGATTGTCTAATTGGCGTGATATGCAGTCATATTTGAGCCGAGCACTTCCCTACACCGGACTCGTTTGCGGTTTCCGGCTAAGGAACTTGAAAAGGCCATCTCTCACGCAAGCTCGACGAGGTGGTCGCAACCCCAAGTTCTGAGTAAAGCAATGCTGCGCTGTTCGCATCATCGAAGGCAAAGATTGAATATTTGATTACGCTTGCGCTATGTCCTATAGTGGTGAAATAAATCCTGTTGTCGACGAGGTGCGCATTCTTGAAAGTTCATGATCAATTGTGATTAGTGCTCGCATTCGTTCTCGACACATACTAAAGCGTTCACATTATACAACTCCTTTCATGATCTCAAAGAGATTTATAGAGTATTTGAACCTATCAATCATAGAACCCAGACCGAAGTCGAGGATTCAAAGGTCTGTCAGTTGAGAGGAGAAAGTTGTAGGGATATTTGTTCATTTGCTCACGCTTTCGACCGACCGACCCTTTTCTTATTGCTGGTACTATTCGTGTTCTTCATTTATTTTGACTGAATGACGTTTTATAAATGTCTAAATTTCCAGTAGTCACGGGGTGACTATTGTTTGAGAATACAATGGTACGTCAAGCTATAATTTTTCGATAAGGCGGCCATTGTATGTTGTTCTGAACCTTGCCTTGAGTCCTTCCCTCCTTCCGATAGAAATCAAATTTGGGTGTCATTTATATGAATTACCGTTGCTTTAGGATATTTTTATACTAAGATTCGGCGTTTACCCTCCTCATTCTATCTCAGTGTAGGCAATAGTATACTACAGTGAGACTGTGGCGTGTATTAGTATATTGATATTGCAGCTAATATGTATAGAAAGAAGGCTATACTATTTTTATATATATTTATATATCTAGAGAATACTAGTAATATACTGAAATACTGGAATTCAATATAAAATATATATTCTTATTCAAATTAAATAATAAAATTCTATTTCTTATTTCAAATTGAATAGAAATCCCTTATTTTTAGTTTAATTTAAATAGGAATATATATTTTATATTGGATTCTAGTATTTCAATATATTACTAATAATATTAAATAATTAAATAATATTGAATGTTTTCAGTGGTGTTGAATTCTATATTACATATATATATATTTCGAAAAAACTCGATATGCACCACTAAACTAACCCGTATACGAAATACGGGAAATACTATTGCCTACACTGTTCTATCTACGGAAGTTGCTCCCCATGGACCTCAAAATCTCATCTGCGTTCTCTTCTTCTTTTTCCTTGATCCAATAGTTCACATACATTCTTTTCCATTCTTCGTCAGACGCTATACTTATCTACTACACACTATCAGGTCATTTTTCTATCAGAGCCCTAAGTCGAAAGTCCAATATATTAAAAAAGATTTCAAGTTGCTGCACTTAAATAGCCCTTCAAGCTTTTATCCTGAACTTTTCTTTTCTTCCTCAAGTCCTGCATTTCAATATGGCCAAGGAAAAGAAAAACAGCCGTCAAGAATCTCCTGAAGATGCTGCTGAGAGGCTCGAGAGGGAAGAGTTGGCAAGAATACATGCCGAAGCTAGGCGGGAGATCGTACAAAGACGTATCTTGGCAGCCGATGAAATGGCAGCAAATGTAAGCCCAATTCGGCTTCCTAAACTCGTTGATTTCAATATTTACACATGATTATCATCCAGCATCAAACCCCTTAGTCACTTGTGCAACATTATTTGATATCTCTCAAGCTTTGAATCTTTTAGAAGGCTTCGGGCATTCCGATTGGATGCTCATATTGATCCAGACGTTCAGCATCATTTCAATGTTTAAATAGTGTACTGATTCTCCAAATTCACAGCGTAAAAAATTGCACTTCCTTTCATCAAAAGCAGTTCCTACAGGCCCTGTCGAAGTTTTTGGCCGATTTCCCGTCGAGATCAAGTGACAAATATTCAAGCAATTGACAGACACTTATTCTTTGCACTCCTTAATCTCCGCCTCTCGATCTTTCCATGAATGTTACCTCGACGATCAATACCAATGTGAAGTATTCTGCAAAATGCTAGTCGATGAAATGACCATTCCTATCTTCCTTCGAGCGGTTGCCATATCCAGCGATTCAGTCCGCAGAATACGATGGACAGGCCAATGGACTGGGGCATTCCAGAACGTGCGCGAGTTTATGGACCAGTATTCCACAGATTCGAGAGCCACAACCTACGATGGAAGGAGTTATAATATGAGAACCCTGCTCTCAATCGCAGAGTTCCATTTGATAATAAAAGCTGTTACTCAAGATTTTTTCGAATCGTGTTTAAATTTGCATCCGTGGACGCACGAGAAGTATGAGAAGAACGAATTGGGGAGACTCGAGGAGCTTCGAATACAACGGGCTTTCTATAATCTTGAGATATACGTCCGTCTTTTTGAACGCGGCGATGATTATCATATTCAGCGAACTTTGTTAAACGAGCAGTCACACGGAATAATCCTGGGGGGTCAAAATGTCGGGCGAGAAATTTATGCGTCGTTCTTTAATCATTTCAGCTTTTGGGAAGTTGAAGAGATGGTCTCGGTAAAAGACTACATGGAAAGAGAATACAATGATATTATCAACGAATGCAAAGATTTTTTGGCAAAGAATTTTACAGGCTCAGCAATACGGTTCTCCATCGACCTCGAGAAAAAATACATGAAGCAGAAACAACGAGTTGGGCAGTTGCGCTTATTCCAGGAATCATTATAACGATTTTAATCGAACTTTTATCAATAAGGGTGTTGAGTTCTTTTGGAAGGTTTGTAACCAAAATGGACCCAAGACAAAAATTCCTCTTATAGACATTCCAATACAACAAGACACCATACTGTTGTCTACTCAATTCACAAAGATAATGACGATTCACTTCTATCTGATAGACCAGGCCTTGAATAATCAGCAAAGCCAAGATATAACATCAGAATTTCGTCGATTTTATGAATGTTATAATCGCTTTCTCGCAAGCCGCGCGAGGCCTAGGCTACTCGATCTTCCAGGCTCCCGTTTCGCATATGATTTTATCTTGATATTTATGAGATCCGAAACGTATTGCTTTCGGGACTGTTGGTCATCTTGGGGTTATTGTATGTGGGACACGGAACGAATAAACGAATAAACGATATCTATTGGCCCATTACCAACCAACTAGAATCTCATCATGGTCCAAGGTCACGTTTGAGCCCTCGGGCTGTACTTTTACCAGCACTGTGAATTTAAAGAGCGATAATGTTGGAGGCATCAAATCTGGTTAGACCATCAGCGTATCTGTTTACTTTAGGTATCAAAATCAGCATCACCATTTAAATGTCCATAACTTGTATTCTTCAATGTCCTAATCAAGTTCTGGCAATAAAACGGTCATTTAGACCAACAAAAGAAGGGCTCGCCAGAGCCACATTTTGCTGCATTGACGAGTGATTTGTTTCTTCATCTGCGAAGAATTTTTTTCTTCCTTTCAGGAAAGTTGAAAGTCTAAGTCTTTGAAATTCTGAATTCAATTTGAAAGTTGGAGCTCACACCTTATCTTTTGGGTTGGGCTCTTAGGGGCTCATGATCGCTTGTCACAATGAACTTGAGTTTGAGGAAGCATTGTAGTGACTTATTTGATCTGTTGCGTATGGTCTACGACAAAAGGAGTATGAATGACAAGTGGTAGTATAGAGCATGGAAGATGGAAGCTAATGGTATACCGAAGTTTCACTGGGGGCATAGGTTTCCATGTGTTTTCACGTGGATTGAAAGATGACCTTGGAGTTCCGCCGATTTGAAAAGACCTTTGCCCTGATGGATTGAAGTCAACAATTTGTTAAATTATAAAAAGAGGACAAGATCACGCATGTCGAAGTTTTCAAGACCGAAGTAATAAACCCTCCTCAAGTGAAATGCATTGTGAACTCGATCCCGTGACTTGAATGTGTTGCTGAGAATGGAAGTTGCGACCTTACCGCCATCAAAAGTAATGGATGTCATTTGGGTGGAACTTTTCACTTTTCACTTTTTAATTTTGTAACCTTCATCACCAGAAGAACTTATCTCGAAGACCTTCGTTGTTTTCTTGATTCGAGGAGCAGAACAAACTGAGTATCGATCCGTTTATGGGCCGCGAGTAATCTCATTATTCTTCCACGATTTGATGAGGATATTCAAATACTTCTTCTGATCCTTCTCTTCGCCGTCGCCCAATTTACCTTTGAGCATTTTCTTCTTTCGAAAGTTTCAATAGGATATCAACTTACAGTCATGGCAAATGAAGTCATCTCCTCATTCGTGTCCTCCTGGCCAAACCAGCCGCACATCGAGGGTGGATGCTTCTTGCCCAATGACAATGGCACAAGAACTCCATACCCAGAAACACCTCCTCAATTTGTTCTTGATATTGTGAAGGAAAGTTATGGATGGACTTCGATGCTAGAAAATACATAAATTTTGAAGGATGACAAGTTCTATCTATTTCCGAAGCTGCCATTCGAGTTGCGTAAAAACATTGTAAGTACATAGCTTGAGTCATTTCAGTGCTTCCTCCCAAATCATGCAGCTTGACTCTTGCTTCTTTCTTCCAAATCATAAAACATTTATACTGATCATAGCTATTTAGTGATGTTACTCTTTGCCAGGCCCGCGTGTGGTTCAACTTTACTGGGTCGAAGGCAAATGCTGGTCAGATGGAGAGCAGCCTGTGGCACTTCACGTCTGCCAAGAATCCAGGGAAACGGCTCTCAAAGTCTACAAATTGGCCTTCAAGTCTGAACTCTCACCAGCAACCACATACTTTGATTACAATGTCGACATATTATATTTAGCTGTTGGGAAAATTCCCGATTTTGCACTTGAGTTGGTGAGAATTCTACGAGGTGGGATCAGCCGATGCGACCTGGACTTAGTACAGCACGTCGCTGTGGATAATGTCTTTTTGAGCCCAATTTTATGGAAATCATCTAGCGACACTCCGTCGAAAGATGATCACGCATTCCTGAGCAGCTTATTTCCCGCCTTACGTTCTTTAACTTCAGTCGTAATACCATCTGCAAGTCTTCCTTTGGATTCGTTTGTTGCTCTTGGATTCATTGACTATTCTATGGACATTATAATTTCTAGCTTTAAGGAGACTGGGAGAGAGTTTTTGCCATGGATGGTAGAGAACAACGGAATTGTCATGCCTTGGAAAGTACCGCTTGGACGAGCGACCTGGGAGGCTCGAATATCTGAAATTTGGAGATTTATTGAGCTTCATGATCCAACAGTTGCGACTTTACGCATTGTCGCTGTAGGAAAACTTGAAAGAGACCCCAAATGGGAGTTCCGAAACAAGTATCTGAATGGGTTTATCTACTTTGAAGACATCAATTGCCTCTTATACGCCACAGAAGAGCTTGAAAGGCTGTTGGAATTACGTGATCATGAATATGGAACTTATTACAAGTTCGGGAGCTGGCTTGCGCAAAGTTTTTATCATTCCAAAACATTTGCAAGATTGAGAATGATTGATGAAGAAGCCCATGTTGATCCTATTGAAGTATATCAATGGAAAAGGAGCTGTGAATGCAAATGCACTCATACTCGTCTAGTGGTGAACCCATGCGAAGAGTATGAGGAATTAGGCAGCTTTGAGATAGATGAAGGATTTGATATTGGAGACGAAATGAGAAAATGCTTACTTCTGAAACATGGATCATTCGAGCCAAGGCGAACCGAGATGTTGAGTGGTAATCGAAACGGATTGTTATGTCGTTTTTGACGAGTGGAAATACCCCAATGAATTAGCGCTTCTCGATGTAGAGTAGGGTACATAAAAGTTCAATCGCTTGAGAATATTGAAAGCTGAGCATAACAGGTAATCCGCGTTTCTTGACAAGATTTACGTGTATGTAACAAGCTTATTATTCCAGATTTGAACATGCAGTTGGCAATATATATCAATACTCGTCTTCGGGCTAACATTCTAATGTTTTCTGCTACTTTCTAAACTTAGATTTTTTCCTGCAGTTCGTTTTCTTCGCGTCTTCTGACTTTGTGCGGAAATAATAATTAGTGCTTGTAAATATCTCAAAGTAAGAGCAAAGCCCTCTAAAGCCATGTCGAGGCTTCGATTATACTTATTTCTGGAATGTCCTGAATCCTTAATTTCATCAGGATCCCGATCTTTTGACTAGTGCTATTGAGTCAATGAAACGATACACATCCGTGTTCCTTGCGCTATTTGGCACTTAATGCCTACCTTTTACACGACCAACTTTCTCATGAGATTATCAGTATTCCTATAGAGTGATAAATGACGCGATCTAGCGCTAGTCTTGCCTTGAGAGAAATTATAGGCATTGATGGCAGGATGCTAATATTTTATTATGTGCTGGGCTCCTGATGAGACCGGAATTTCCTGAAGAGATGATACCCGAGAATGCTTCATTTATGAGTAAAAGATTGTGTCTTCGGGATGGTAGATAAAGCACGGTAAGGTGTGAGCATGTGGGTGTAAATGGAGCAGTTGAGAAGTAATTGGTAGCTCCGTATAATTTGGATTATGGGTTGCTAGTGAAGATCGGAGTTATTGGATAACGTATTCAGCCACCGTCAATATTACCCATTCGCTTCTGGTACAATCTTAAGTTTAAATTCTTGGACACCTTGCGTTACTTATGGGCCATTGATCTTCCAATTACAAAAGTGAATTTGTACGGCACGAAATCCAACTTGAGTAAAGAAGCAAATGATGAGCTACGTTACCAATTTATATGCATCTCAGAGTCAGAGGCCCCAAGAATTATGAACATAAACCTGCCAAGGCAACTTCACGGAAGATCTAACAATGAAAACAACCAAGATGAACAGCAAGGATATTGTCACTGCTTTGCAGGTCTTGCAGGAAAGAGTCAATTCTCTTGAGCTGGAAGTCGCAAGGAAGGACACAGAGCTCCATGAAAAGAACGCCGTTATTCGATTCCTCCGAGACGAATGCCAAAGATATGCGACACAAAACACATCAGTACTTGTAGCCGGACATTCACAAATCTTACCCCATGTTCCAATTTTTGATGTCGATGAGAATGGAAAGCAGTCGATTCATTTCGATTATTGGCTCCAGAGAATTCAATCGAAATTAGACATGGATCATTATTTAGGAGCTGCTCGTATGGAGTATGTTGTCTCTCGACTTGGTAGTGGTCCGTCAGCATATATTTATAAGAGATATCAAACAGCAGAACAAATGCTTGATGCTCTGAACAAAATTTACGGCAATACAGATCGAAAAGAAGCTGCTAGGATCGCATATCACCGTTTATCTCAAGAGGATAACGACCCATTTCCGTTATCCTGGAAAGAATTTCAAAGACTAAGTGCGGTCCTCGAAATGACTGAAACGATGATGGTTCATGACTTGTACGGGAAACTCAATTTGGGATTGCGGAAGGCTTTGATAAATGACAATCTTGATAATATTGAAGATCTAGGAAGATTTTGCAGGATGGAAGATAGAAAATTGCGAGCAATACAGGCTTTGAAGGATTCCGACGAACAATAAGTCGATATTCTAAGGAAGGTTGGAAGCTGTAGTTGTGGGCGAGGAGCGCAGCGCATGGACTATGTTTCGGATCGAGGGTGTGGTACTTAATTGCCGCAAGCTTTTGGCGACTGTTTTCGGGGTTCTTTCTTAGTTCTGGTCTGAGGGGCGTTGGAGGGAACTACTGTAATCCCAGAACATATTATCTTCAGATCCTCATGATCTGAGATTGGGAGTTGCCGTATTCTGCCTCTGTGATTCGTCCGAGGCTTTTGGCGTGAACATGTAGAGAGCGGAGAGCTTTCCTTGGTTATCGAGGTGCTGGTCATCTCAAAACAATCAGACCAGTGAAATGGATTTACATTCTTCCGATCCCATCCGGCTAACAGATTAGTTGGTACTACAAAGCCTTGGTTGGGAGAATGATTAAGCGAGTTAGTTGTGGCTCTTAATCCTGGGAACTTTCAGAATGAGAGGAGGACTAATGGGCATTGAAGAGCCTCTTGCAGTAGGTTTCCGTGAGGAAATTTTCATCTGGACTTCTACTTCATTACTTGGTAATGTAGATTTCCTGCCAAGAGCCATAGGTATTTGAGAATAGCTAATGAATTGATACGACCTCGGAAGAATTCTTATCATTTGCGTGATATTATGTTAGATTTAAGTCACAGTTTGTGAATTTAGATAGGAAACTTGGGTTTCTGTCACTCTTCTAATGGTACTTAAGATTCCAAGAACCCTGGAAACTCGTGTTAGTTGATTCATTCCCAAAGAAAGCACCCTTGAAGGAAGCGTTTCGACACAAGGATGTTTTTCCCAGAATTTACGACCATAAACCATCACTTCGGGAATATTATCTGCGACCTATGATTTACTCCAATCTAGAAGTATGGTATAAGTTCACAATCTGGAACAAAAATCCAAAAATTGCCATTTTTCGTCAAAATATTATCAGATATATTAATAATCGTCTCATAAAATGGCATGGATATCTCGCTCGGTTACTGGAGGGTAAATGGTCTACAAGGGGCAATATAGGTTGTCCTGCTATCCCCTCCGGCTAGTTAAGTGTATTTCTCAAAGATAACAATAAGCTACAGGCACTGTGAGTTTTAGGAGCGGCAGTACTTCGTCTCATGTATAGCATGACAAAAACCTCTCTGGATTTCAAATTTCGAATCATGAACTGTTCTTCCCATTTCCTGAGATTTCTATAGAAATCTAGGCGATCTCTGTGAAATCGAAATTTTTTACATCTTGTATCTGAAACATAAAAATGATTCCTGGCATGGTTGGTATTAACTTAATATTCTCAAGAAAATTGTCGTAAGTAAGCCACAGTGTTGAAAGGCGTCGGTTGTTCGCCATCCTGCTACACTTGACTGTTCTGGGAGTGCCACGACGAGTTCCATCATCCTTTTTGACCGTGGTACCTCGCTGTGCGGAAGCACATTTATTAAAATCCCTTTGATGACATCAAAAAAATTGAAGAATGATTCACTTATAACGTAAAACCTCAAGTTTATTCACTGTGAGAAATTATCAACTTTGATTATCGTTGCTCAATCATGGATCCAAGCACTCATAATATTCCACAATCTCCCATCTTGCGTAATATTCACGGACAGTGCATAAAACTGTGCCCTCAATATTCAACATACATGCACATAAGTTTGAGTGAATATTTGTCCCGAGGATCAAGATTGTTTGGGGTAGAAATATTTTTGCAGGAGCGCAGCAGAGGCAACTCTGGGGTGATACACGGGCTTGGATATGGTTTTAGAAGCTGAATTTAGGTTGTCATTCTTTATTCTGTTATTTTCTAGAGTTGAGTTGGTGACACTTCTTGGCCAATCTGTTCCGAGAATCTTGAGACGACAGAAAGAGGTAGAACATGAGTCAAGATGATGAGTGGAAGAAATGAAGGGAACAGGACAATTCATGCATCAACTTTGTAGCAAAGTGCACTGATTTTTCTAATATGTCATCAACTGCAGTTTGATCTACCTCCGAATTAGCTGAGTTGATTTTGCGATCCCCAGATTTCGCAATGGTCCAGAATAAATGCGTTGCATGTTCGAATCTGCGCTTGAATAGAGATGAGAAGTCAGTCACGATAAGAAGCGATGCAAATTTGCATGCAGTAAGAGTCAATTACGACAGTCCTTGGATGCATAAGTAGGCCTAGCTTAAAAATAATGCCACAGGGCTAGCCTTCTCATAGACTACAATACGGTGCCGTGCAGGTTATGTGGTTCACATCAAAGGATATATATCCTTCCTTCGTCACTCTTCCCAAGAATTGATCGCAAAGTTGATCTCTGTTAATCGAAAATTTGCCTGTAAGCTCATATACTTGAAACTTCTATATATATAATAAGTCTGATTCCTTCCCTGTAGTGACAGATCTCTTCATCATGTAAGAAAGATGATATTTTTAATATCATCCCAAAATTAAACCGTCAGATTTACACATTCAAGAAATATTTCTTATACTGTTCTGGGATTGAATCAGTTTCATTGAATGATGGAACTTTCTGATATCAGGAGTCCTGATATCTTGTTTTTCTTAATGTCCTTCGATACAACTAATAAGTAAAGTAATCTAGAGATTTGTGAGAGAATATGGTTATGCCCAGATGTATATTAGTGGAATACAGTGGTGGAATTTTGAATTGAAGAATAATGAAAATACTAAAGAATTTCTCCTTTGAAGTACTTGGACTAATTTTCTCCTCACTCCTTTAGTGTTACATGAGTATCCATGCTTTTAGCTCTTCTTATGACTGATCAGTCTTCGTCTTCTATTAGAACAATGTCTACTATCATCTGATTATCCTTAGTTACAACCTTTTTATTATGCTACTCTATCTCTATAAGTAAAAGGACTATAAAAGCGTGTTGAAGGAGAGATGAACTGGATTCTTCTTCCTAATAATATGGAAACTATTTAAGATACTATAATTCACTTGATTTGATACTAGAGTATTCACTATGCCATCTCTACCTTTTACTAAAACTTTCACGATATCTCATCTAACTATCTTTATAGTAGAGCACTTCAATATACGACTTCTAGTAAATGATACAGAAATTCTCCTTTTTGACTTTTGCGTACCTAATTCAAAAGCTTTTTTTTTTCTACTGAATACCTAATGTCATTTATCTGTATCTCTCTTTCTATATTCATATAACTCTTAGACGTTAGTAGATAACTATCTGTTCTTGGTATGTTTTCCCTTGAAATTTGGGTTAAAGCTCTTTTCTTACTTAGAATACTACTGTCATCTCATCTACATTCTTACTACTTTATTCAAATAGTATTCAATACCAATCAAAACAATATAAATTATTATCCTTTTCTCTTCGACCACCTGCTCTAGTACTCTTCCTCATACTCCTCGAAAGCATCTATTATTTGTCCTACTCTAGTGATATACACTTGTGAAATATTCAATCCCCGTCAAAAAGTTATCTACTCTCATCTTATCTTGTTTGCCTATTTCATTCTTAGTTCTCACTTAAAAGTCGAACAATTATAGTCTTTCTACTTGAATTCCATGGATTTAAATTTCTCAACCTTCTCCTAAAAATATATAAATACAGTTCTACCCTTTACTTCCTTAACTATAAGTTTCTGGCCAGGATTTGAGAGATAGACAATGACTTAGAGTTTCTCTTATCCGGTAGTAATCATGTCTAACTCACATGATAAACTTGAAGAATTATTGTTCTTCTCTATCCTTAATCAAAGACAGCATGCTCCTCACCTCTTAAACCCATTCTATTTAGACTATTCTCTATACTTTAGAGATAATAACACTTAATCCTTCACTTAGACCCAAATGAGTGCAAAATTTCCTACTTTTTATCTCTAACACACAAAATAAAGCCTCCAAATTGCTTCATTTGAACATGTGACATGCTTTTGATGAACTTTTGGGGACCTCTTAATACATCAGGGGCGGCTGAACTTCGGAGGTAGCTAACCGACAGACTAAAAGGTGGATGTTAGAACTATCTTGATGGACATCAGAATGAACTAAAGAGATAAAAAAAATGTTCTAAATGATGAGATACGTATATTTGCTGTCTTTTGTTGTTTTTTCTTTGTAGGCTTACCGGATGTTTCCAGTACTGAATGGTGATAAAATGAAGGTAATTATGTTGAAAAATAAGAGAACTTTTGCTAGACATTGATGCCATCTTACCCCAAATGATGTGCATTTGATGATTGATAAAGTAAAAAAGTTGGTTTGAAGGACTTTGAGGTGTTTTTTTACATAGCTTTAAGATGCCTAGAGGTGTTTATGCATGTTTAGGGGGATGTATAAGTGTTTTTAAACAACTTTATTGATGTTTTAAGAAGGTCCATGAGTATAATATCTGACAAACATTATGTTCTGATAAGTGATTGCTATCATTTTGGGCATTTTGATGCTTATGTCAACTGCTTAAAAGTGACCATAGTTATGTCACATGAAAAGACACCAATCACCTGTGTAGTTTCTAAATGCATCACATACCTCAAGATTCCTTTATAATTGAGATTTATTGCTAAATTGCCACCTAAAGTTATGAACTAACTATTTAATGTAATATGACCTTGTAGCCTACAGCAAAACCATAATTTTCTTCATTCAAATAGTAGATATCTGCTAATTAAAGCCCTAGCCCACTTATCAAGTATTGTGTCCCGCTCCAGTGCTGCCAGTACCTAGCTTCGACCTAAGTGCCTACCTAATTCCTATTCCGTACCTGTCATTTGGCAGATCTTTTGGGATCCAAATCTCAGAGAGTGGCTTGGGTTCCGCACCCCCTCAATAAAGCTTGAAGTACCTGCGTTTATAAAGATTATTGGGGGTAAACGCTCATGTGTATACGCTTCAGAGGTCTGGCAGATGTAATCGATGATGCAAACAGAGAAAGTTAAGGATAGAGGTGGCAGAGCCTAAGGATCTAGAATTTAAAGACATGGACGTAAGATCTCGATATGTAAATGCGCCTGTGTAAAATCGATG